TGGCGTTAAACTAAGGAAGCTCTGAAATCTAAATAAAAAAATCAGCTCCAACCTCATCTGGGTACGAATAGCTCCAACCGTCGAGTTCTGCCAAGCACAAATCAGACTGTCAAATCTTTAGTTGAATATCATTCAAGAAAGTAGAGGGAAGTTACCCCCAATGAATGACGACCTAGGAGAGTTCTCAAATACACAGAATGTTTCTGACCTGCATAACATGCACATTTGCTAGCGATCAAACTCCCCTTTAAGCAAGTAGTGTAAGTTTGGGGCAGACTTACAAAAAACAGTGCGTCCCATTGAATTGTTTTATTAAAGTATAGGTTTAAAATCGCTTTAGCGCTGTTGGTCATACACACATAGTTATGCACCCTCCGGTCAGCCACTTAAAGGGCATTCTCGAAGGTTAAATGCTTTTTACCTGAACCACCCACAAACCACTAATCCTCATTTTAAAAGTAGTGCTTAGGTGTCTGGTGCACTGATGCAAAGCCCCAAGTACGATTTTTGGATTTCCACGTTAGCGCACACTCCACCTCCCACACTAATGCAAGACATCACGAGTCTTCATGCAGAGAGCGTTTACTGTCTCAGCCAAAGGCCGAGAATGCGTTTAAATGCGCCCACTTATATACGGTATGGGCGACCTTAATAGCAAGTGGGAGTAAAAATATTGGGAGAGGTGACGACCACTAAAAGTTCAAATGTTGACGTGCGTAAAAAAATGAAAATTGAAAAATTCTTAAAGATATAGCCTTGAGGATGCTGAATCCCCAACAGATAATGGTCAGTATTTTTCTTACCAACAAATTTGCAGCACGTAGATCTTCTATGGGATCCCAGTAATATCCACCATATGATGATGCTGATGAACTCTCACGTTCCCGTATGGATTTATTAACAGGAGATCATAGGTGATTCCTGGGTAAATGCCGAACATCCAAGACACCAGCGACAACATAGGGTACATCATCTATTCGTTCCATAACCCATGTTCGAATAAATTTGCAAGCGCTTTGCATTCATGTTCACCCAGTCGAAATGCTATGAATGACCATCCATAAATGAATATGTTGAGGAGAATCCCATAAACCGAGTTATTCGAGACATTTCTAGGGTAGAAAACCACACCGGGACTCCCATCGTTTAATTTGTTGCTCATGGAGTAAAATGCGATCTCGTAGATGCCGACACCAATGGACGCATACCATACCCGAGGAGTTTTGTTAAATGCCAAATTGTGTTGACCATTCCACCAACTGATTAAAGGCAATTTCTACTCTAAGTTATTTCCGCTTTACACGTTGCAAAACTGCCTGTCAGCCGAGAGTTTGTCTTGTGTGCGTTTCCATAGATTGCCAACTATCCTGTCAGATTAAACTAGAGACACTGACGTGGAAGTCCCTTATGTTGACATACAAGCTGTCAATCCCACTGACGTTTACAAAGTTGACTGACAGCTGGATAAGGTGCTTAGCTCCTGGTTCTCAAGTAACGTAATCCAAATGCCCAATGGGTCTAAATGAAATTAGTTTATCCTATTCTATCTGCCACTAATGTTATAGGTTTTAGAAGTGAAATATATTTAACATATCATTTTGAAGAGTAATGCATCGGGGATAGGTTTTACAAAAGTGAACCAATAATGGCGCCACCGCGGTTAATGAGTTAGTTAGGGAGTGGACACACGATGACCAAAGGAACAAAAACACGATTTTCGGAGTATGCAGCCAAAGTCACATTTACATTCATTTAAAGCTAATGATTGAAGTTCAACCACTAAACACAAGATTTATTGGTGCTCGGGAGGGGGTCACATGTGAGCCCCGTAAATTCTAGACACCGAATTCCCAGTGAATCACATCTTCTTGTTTTTACTTCGTTTTCTAGCGTAAAAAAGCTTTAAAACGGCCAATACGTAGATTAACACCTCGATAACTGCCACGAAGTTACTCTATGTGTCTGTCACAGAAGAGTTTCTCACCTAGAGGCAATTTAAAAGTAATAGTATATGGCAACTTATTTTTGGTCACATGCGTGCTCGGGAGCCTTTTACCGCACAAATTGGGAACTCTGGCTATTCCTATCTAATGTCTGTAATGATCGCGGAATAGAAATCATGGCTTTTGCATTACTAATCCGACTACAGTTAAAACAATGCACAGAAAAGATTAACATACAAACTGCCTAATGAGACGGCGAACCTCCGTCGTTAGTGCATGTCAAATCGAAGTGAGTTGGGATTTAATGAGATTTCAGCGAAGCATTTTTCCCTTCTCCACTATTAGCGATTGATTATTTTAGGTGTTAAAGGCAGAAGCACACTAGATAAATTGCAATAATATTTGCTTTGTTTTTAGGTTTTAAGCAGAAAAACACGGAACTGAATATGGTTGGGAATAATGTGATTTTGTTTTAGTGCATTTGAGCGCAAATCGCCGTCGCCATTATTTTGTCATGCCTCGTCCGAGCTACGCGAAGGGTCGCAATAGGAAGTATACGTACCACAAAGGCATGTTTAGCCCTGTGACATTACGTAAATCACGATAACGTATTTGATACTGCTGAATGTTAGTGATCTATGTGGTTTGCTTTCACGTCTTTCTTCAAGCGTTTTTCCACCATCCTATTTATATTCTCGTTTTGACTCTTATTTGACCTCTGCAGTAAGAGCACTTGAAGTGATAGACAGAAGCGCATGTATTAGTGTACCTGCAGTAAGTTAGGCATTAGGGTGCCATGCTTGTTGCTAGAAAGTTATGATTAACCGCTCCATGGATTCGTGCTTCTGTGGCTTTACAACGACTTAATTCTGTTGTCTTTTTTCCCGTACCTGTCTCTTGTTTATTAACTAAGACGTTTACTGAATGGGTGTAGTTTGGACTGTAGGACCTGGAAATAAATCGGGTGACGGGCTGAACCAGGGTGTTTGGTTGCTGGCGAATAGTTAATTAGTTCATCAACATTGAATTGCTTTCTGGCGAAACGTTGCAAACTCTTTGCTGTGATTGTGGGACTTAATGCGCTGTTGTGATGGCCATGGAGACGGCTAACATCTATCTCAATTTCTAGGTGATTATGATGACCTAGACAGCAACGGAGGTCGTTCCGACTTTCGTCCTCGGTTTCGCAATGAGTGGAATGCTGGAAGGCACGGCAATCGGCGACACCACCAGGGTATAACCAATCCTGAAGTTGTGCGTCGAGTAATGGTGGGTGACAACACTGGAGGTGGAACTGGAGTTGGTCCGATGTCCGGCACGAATTGCGGGCTAGCTCCTGGTGAGACTTGGATGCGTGTCAACGTTGTGCACGGGGCATCCATACCCCTAGACTTCTTGAGAGAAAATTTGGGGGCCGCCCTGGGAACACCCATCCGAATATACAACGCCAACCTGAAAGGGGAGAATCGAGTATTTTTCTTCAAAATGCGTGCCAAAAAGGTATTTGAAAGCACTTTTCTTGAATCATGTTTTGAGTGCAAATTTTGACAAGTTCTAGATATTTTCGTTTAGCTGCAGGAGCGTTAGGTTCGCCCTTAGTAGTCATTTGTCGTTTGCGTCGACCCTTTACTATTGGGGCATTGATAAGCTGTGTATACGAATGCATTTCGAGCACCAGCAGTTTGAAATGATTCTTTAGTAGTTGCGTAACCTTTATGGGATGGGGTGGTCGTGTTTTCAAATACTAATCATTATTTGCACGAATTAGAGCCTTGCTTGCCTCGAGCATGCAAGGTGTCGGAATTGTGCTACAGGAATTCTTTGGTATCCGCTTACGCTGGACTCTTCTGATCAGTGTCTGAAATCCCAAAGAACACTGCAAAAATTAATCCTTTTAATTTATAAAAAAACTGCATAAATAGCCGACTCTCATGGTCGGAGACACATATGTCCGAACGTGGGTGGTTTCTCTTCAACAGACTCGTCTAGTTTAGGGTGCTCGCTATTCGTTCAGCTGATCTGCTATTTGATAAGTAAGCTGCAGCCCAGACGTCAGACTGAATATGTATGGATAGCGCCGTTAGCAGAGGTAGCATCGGCAGATCGTAACTGGTCGTTAGACCATGGGATTTATCTTACGAAGGAGTTTCTATGTGGACCCATGGGTTGGTGTAGTCTAAAGGCAAGTTTTTCGTGGACTTTCCCAAATGGTGGGTTCAAGTTCATGTGGCTGTGGCAGTCTTACTTGAGTGGAAGTCTCGTAGCTTCTGGCCTTTTTTTTTTAATTTTTTTATAGTGCTTACTGGTGGTGCGGATTTTCGTTGACGTAATTGCAATATTCGTGTTTTTATTTCCCTTTTTATTAGCTTGGCACCCACCGCAAGGCAGTAAATGGTATTGTAAATCCAAACACAGGGGCTCCTCTCGTCTGTGACATCAATCCTTGTCGTGAGCCCGAGGTCCCTCTCAACGTTTCGGATGCATCCGCTGGGTCTGCCCCTGCCCTTTTACCCTCCTCCTGGATGGATGCATTGCGGGAGTGTTTCAGAGAACGCTTCCAGGCCACTACTCGCGTTCTAGACCTTTCGAGCCTCCACACCGATCTCACACTTCTCAGCAAAGGCTTCTACATACCTTTGGACAAGACTCCTGTTTTCTCGTCCTTCGTAGCCATCCTTCAGGAAAACAATGCACAAGTATGTCTATTTTTTCCCAAATTTGGTTTACCACGCCGCAAAATGACGATTAAAGTTGAGAAATCTACCCTCAACGCTAAACAATCCATACGAAAAGTGTTGGAAAGTCTGTGTGTAGAGCGGAGCTCTTCCACAACCTTGGAGTTGTCAAAAATAGCCGTGTTCGTATAGCTCAGATGGGATATTTTCAAAGATGTGGAATTTCCAAGTATTGAATTGAACAAGGAAGATGAACCATTGTGATACGTAACTTTCCTGGTTGTACACGGTTTCAACCAACAGAAGGCATAGGTTATTTCCCTAGGTTATGTAGTGGTGAGCATTTGGATTGGACGATGGAGACGTACAAGGCTTGTGCAAATCTACTGAAACACGAAATTAAAGGTGAAGTCGAGGCAATAAGTTCATTTTATCGTTGTGTTAATCAAATTTCACATTTTTAACCCATTCATCTGTTGCAACGGTTTACTATGTGGGTGTCAGGACCCACACAGGATTAAGCACGGTAGTTCCCCGTACATGTGCTGGGTTAGGAGACGCCATACCCTCAAGTGATTTATGTTAGCGCAGTATAGAAGACGGCGACCAAAGCCCTGACGCATCCATAACGATCAATGTGCTTTCACGAGTCATTTAAACATCTTAAACTGATAGTGGCATGTCAGTAGTATGTAATCATTGGTTTTTGGTGACTCAACAGCGAAAAGGTCACCACCGATGGAGATCAAGAGCTCCAGAACTGGAATACAATGATGTAACCTAGAATCGACTCAATTATACCGCTTGAGCGTGAAAGCAGTGCCGAGCCGAACCTTGGTAGATAGCACAAATGTAGTCCTTGCTCTGTCGACGTGGTTAGTGATGTTCTGGAGAGGTGACTGTTCACTTAAGCCAAGGGGTTCCGCGGGTATTGCACACGTGAAATCCGCTAAAGTATTGCGTTGTTTGGTTGTGTCTGTTTTCTGTTTGGGCCTTTTGACTCAGTATTAGGAAAGATTGAATAAATCTAGCAAACTGAACCCGATGGCTAAAAGCGTTAATTGCGAGTAGTTTTTGTGACACGTAATGATTCAGTGAATGGTCTTCGATGCCTTGCTATGATGGGGTGTATGGAGTTATGACTTTGCCATTGTTAGAGTCTGTAAGAATCTTAGATCAAAATCTCGTACCCTAGACGACAGTCAATTTGTCTATGAAATTGTAGTCTAGTGGTGCACCTGATTGTGCTAAATCACGTACGAATTAGACGTCTTTTCTGACTGAATGGTCCTACGTAATCTTGGGATTTGGCAAGTGCGCTAAGATGGTTCTGTACAGAGGTTAATAATGAGGTTAAAGTGGGTATTAATTGCTGGTAGCCTTGAATTTGAACTTGTGAAATTCTAAATGGACGGAGAGGTAGTATGTGTTGTTTTAAGCTGATGAAATAGTGTGCCGCAAAAACTTGTTGGGTGTCCTGTTAATATACTGTGGTGTCTGACTTGAATTAGGCAGAACTTGTAGTTTTGGTTTTTTGTGTGCTTTTAATGTCACTGTTTCTCTACAGCTGGCTATACTGAATTTGTCAAATAATCGGCTACGTCATGTACAACCCTTTGAAGATATGGCCAAATCGATGGGGCCTCCAACTTACTCAATCGAGCGTATAGATTTGAGTGCTAACGCCCTCACCCAAGTACGCAACCTTGAGGCACTGAAGCACGTTCCTGGTGTCTGCCACCTCGATGTCACAGAGACGCCATTATCAGGTCGTCTGTCCAATCCAAATCACGCCAAGTTTATGGAAGCGTGAGTTCTACCCTATTTGATTACCTCAAATTGGTACCATTAAAACATGAAACACGTTTAAAGGGTCGTGTGGTTAGTTAAAGGATGTTGACAATTTCTTAGGGAACGCTGGCGACCAAATTTCGTCGCTTTCAATCACCTTCTAATTAGGCTGTCCCACTCTGGGTTTTCGACCTAGTTTATTTCACAGCACTTTAGTATGCTGAAATGATTTCTGGTGGTGACCGAGGCCTTCAGGATGGATTAGTAGGTCTAGTTAAAGTTTTGAGCTGTTTTGAGCCTGTTGAGGACGCAAGTAAATGTCTTTATCACAACGTTATTGTAAATCAAAATTTGTTAGCGTTGTGAGCGGCTGCGTGGTTGTGTGAAACATGACTTGGTTCCAGCTGGCATCTGAAACAACTCGCAAAACGATAGACTCCCAGGAAAATTCGTGGTTACATTGGGTTTAGATAAATCCCACCGCCTGCATTTTACTAATATGTATTTCGTTTGTGAGGTATACTCGCAGACGTTTGGGCGTATCTGAGCACGTGCAGACTGCTGGACACGCTTGGTCTTCTGTGAGAGAGCCCATTAAGTACATTTGATCTCCATCTCGTTTATTTCTCCTTTACGCGATGCAACTCGATGGCGAATGGATAGTCAAATCGTGCGGATCCTTCCTGCTCTGAAGACTCTTGTAAGTTTCCTTAGTTTGCAGGTCACTTAAATAGCAAATAGTTGTCATAGTTTTTAACAAAGCAGGTGTAAGCGTGTAGAGTATTTAGTCCGCTACGTAATTTGATTTTGTGCGTGATATTAGCAGCACACACGTCTTGGACATGGCGAGGGGGTTTGGCGAGTCATTGCGTTGTGCAGAAGAGTGTTGTCCTCGCTCAGTCTCACCCGCTATTTGTACCAACTTTGATAAAGCGACAATTAAAATGGAGAACTGGAAAGGTAATACTTTCGTCGTGAGAGTAAGTGGCTTTTGCATTTCAGAACGGTAATCCCATCAAGGTGACAGTGGAATTTGCAATCGAGCACGCGTCAAACGCAAGCACAGTCACTCGTGGGCCGCGATTTCCGCTTCCAAAGACAATTCAAGGCTACTTTCCGAATGAAGAAATCAGGATTCCTCTTCTAACGTTTCTTAAAGAGTAAGTTTAGCAGACTCCTAGGTCAGGTTTGTCGCAAAGTCGATGGGGACCTAGTATCTCAATTTCTAATTTGGAAAGGTGAAAAGACGAGTTGTCATTGATGTCCCCTAACCTCAAAGGTTTGGTGGCGATCCTACATCAATGGATTAGGGTTATTGGCTTGGCGCATAGATCGTATTGATGGTTTGTAGAACCTCGGTAGTGTCGACTGGACTTATGCGGGCTTTACCTATCGTCGGCTACAAGCATTCGGCTAGTGATCGACTTAGAACAATGGCGAGGTCAATACCGATGAACATCAAGAGCTCAAGAATTGGTCTACACTGATGTAACATAAAATCGAGTCGATTGTACCGTTTGTGCGTGGAGATGGTGTCGAGCGAAACCCTGGTAGAAAGCTTAAATAAGTGCTTGGTCTGCCAACGTGGATATTGATATTGTGGAGGGCTTACTGGTTTCCACGAAGTGGTTTCCAATGCCCTTTGCGTGAACTGCTGGAGTTGACAATTGACTGCTCTGATAGCCTTCAACCGTACTCTCCAGCAAAATTGAGGTGGCGCAAACTGAAGCCCTTGTGATGCTTTAAGGGTTCGAACTGTGCCAACAATACCCACCATAGATCTGAACCAATTGAAGAAGTTCTGGTTGTGTGTTGGAATGTCGTGCTTGTACGAAGGCGGAAAGCTTTCTTGTTCGAGCTGGTGACTGCTGGAACCTGGATAAGCTAGCTAGGTAGGCGTAACGGATGTACACTAGGGGTCACGTGGGCTAATTGGCTTGACTGAACACCCGACTGGCATAATGACCTCAAACTGATTTGGGTGAATTCGCGGGTCTGTTCACAGATACCTTCAAGAGGTTTCTGGGTGTATTGTACCCAAGAAGCTGTGCCTTTGAACAATTGATTGGCCACACGCGTTTCACGACTTTCAATTTAATTGACGTCTGGCTCGCCCCTACTCAGGGCTGTTGTGCATGATTACTTTCAATGTTTCATTTTTCCGCTTCAACGATGCATGAATTTGTTGATTATTCGCTTAGATACTTCTCGCGTTACGACTCCAGTCCACGCGGTGAAAACATCTACTCCTACTACACATCGGCTTCAACGCTGACCATGTGTTTGAACCCAGCTTCGCAGTTTTCTGGGAAAAGCGTCTCCGAAACAATCGAGGCGAATGATGGATCGTCGCAAAAAACGGTGTTGCTGACAAATAACCTCGACGACGCTTACTTCAAACAAAATCGAAATCTTTTGCGTTGTAAAGATGAACATAAGAGACACGAACTCATTTGCCAAGGCTCCCTTGATATCGCCTCGGCTCTTGGAAAGCTGCCCGCCACCGAGCATGTTCTCGAGTCATTCTGTATTGACGTCATTTTTCATTCAGTAAGTGTCGCACTTGTGATGTGCCGATTACTTTTGTCTTCCACTCATTTGATCTCATTTAATTTTTTTTACTAAAAAGCAGTCGAAATTGACATTTACTGAGAAAGATGTGGTATCGTGGTCACAAGGCATATCAATATCGAATAGTTCTAGAATTCAGTTGCCATTATCGATGATTTAGGTCATTCAGTTTTCGATACTGTTTACTTGCAACTAAGCCGAGGTGAATGCGCTATTGTGAGATGGTAAGTGTTTCTGTTCTTTCTTAGGAATCTCAAATCCTCTTTAATGTGAGTGGCGTTTTCTACGAGATCAAAAGAGGTGCTGGTTCAAATGCTCCCTTACAGAAGGTGCTGCGCTGTTTTGCGCGTTCAATGATACTCGTTGCTCCCGGCTCTCAGATACTTCAGGATGACATAATTTTCTCAAATCCGAGTGAATCCCTCATTCAGGTAAGAAGACAAGGCCCCTGAGTGTGTTTTTTTTAAATGTCTGAAGTGCGGCCACTTGAAAATATCATTGTATGTTTGGGCTTTACACTGGGGCTTGGTGTTTTATCTACAGGTCGCTGCATATATGCAGTGTCCTGAAATGTCATCGAATACTAGTTACAACCAAAAGTGTGTAAAGGGAAGAGAATTGCAATAAAACGACACAAGTAATGTTTTACAATCTGAACATTAGTTGTAAGATTCGGCCACACCCGCACAACCCGCATGTAGGTGTATGCAGTTTCTTTTGAGGTAGGTAATGCGAAGGCTTTTTGGAGTCGAGGTTTTCATTCGTGGTCGGATTATTGTTTAATGAAAGTGAACTTGGCTTTATCTAAATTTGTTTTTTTTGTCAATGCAGCGTTACATCCGAGATGTTAAGAAACGAGCAAGCACCTCTGGCGTTTCCCGTTCATCGGCACCGATGATCCCCCCATCAGTTCCTGCAGGTGCCAATGAGCGGGAGGTGATGCTATCTGAATTTCGTCGCCAAACCGGTATGAACATGGCGTTTTGTCGTCAGTGTCTGGAGGAGTTTGGTTGGCAATTCGACACTGCCCTCTCCAGTTTCCAGTCGATGCACGCCGCTGGCACGATTCCCCAAGCGGCTTTCGCCCCTGATTAGCGAGTTTGTCCTCGGGAGAGGTTATCGTGCCTCCCAAAACAGGCGTTGTTGGACAGCATTAATTTACGAATGATTGTGAATGCTTGACACGAGGGGGACGCGTCAAAAAAGAACAGTAAGAACTGCGTTTACCGGTGGCTTAGGTGTGATACTGGTTGATGTGTGCGCTCATTCCCACTCTTTCTGTGCACGGTTCTCTTTGGGTTATAAAGGGACCCCGCCACCGAGACCACTGCCAAATGGGATCGGGGCGTGATGTGTACAGGCTAAGCTGTGTGTGCCGGAAACGCGCAAGTGAATAGTGCTGATAGCCGAGAGCCCCCTGTGTGTGTGTGTGTATGAGCGTTTGTTTGTTTGTGCTGTTCCATCAGTGCCTATTTGGGGTTACCTTGCCTCCTCCCCCACGTCAAACTCGTTGCTACATGGAACTCTTAAGAACAGCAATGTATCCCATATTTTTCCAACGCTTTGTAAATACCTTTTAGGCAATAAGACTGCTATCACTGACGTTATTTCCTCATCACTAGTGGTCCGTGGGGGCTCGTCCGCTGCCGTTGAATCCGTGGATACTGGTTGGTAGGGGATGTAAAATTGCCACGGACAGTTACTTTGATGGGCATAGATGCAGCCAGACTTTTGGGCGAGAAATTAGCGTAGAAAGAATTGGCAATGTCTACTGCGTGGTTGAATCCGCAGCAAAGTGGGTTGCAGGTACAGGATTTCGACAGTGGCGTTGTTTGTCCCTTGCATGATTTGCCTAAAGTGGGTCCTCACAAGGGTGGCTGTGTCCACATCGTCGTCTTCAGGAAAGTGGAAATCAGGCGGCAGTTAGTGTGGGGTGGGGCAGGTGCAGGCGTTTTCATTGGCAATGTGGAGCTAATCTTGTCATTTGGTATACGGGGTGCTTCCAGGTATTGTGGTTATTGGTATCTTGCGCTTACTGGTTGCCGTAGAACATGGGAATTGTGGAGGAGGCGCGAGCAGTGGGCTTCCACTTTCTTATTTGTAGGCGTTCCAACGCGTTTTTGTGTGTCCATGTTGATTTGGGAGATGTCTGTTGAAGGCAAAGATGAGAGGCTTGTGCTGAATGATATAAGTAGGTTTTATTTAAAAAAGAGGTGATAATGGACTTGGCAATTGCGTTTGCATTGTTGAAATGGTAGCCTTAGCCAAAATGTTTGATGCCAGATTTTCAATGTGATTGTGCCTGTGGTTATAGGCTCGTGAAATGTGCTACCGTTCACAGTGCCGTTCATTTACAGAAAGGTGGTGTGGATCGCGTTGATTCACACTTGTTAATTCGGTCGCTCCATTCGCCGACACAATGTCCCTCCTTTTCACAACATGCTGTTAAATTGTGCTAGGGGAATTTACCATGTCCCCTTGGCCTGTAACTAACCTCATCGTAAAATGGCCATTACAAAAATCGAAGGCAGTCACTTAATTCACAACCCTTGAAAAGGGCATTTAGTGTTTCTTAAAATATTCACGAAATTACCCCGACCTAGTCAACTCAGCACATTTGAAGACATGAATATAGTGCAGGGGCACATATAAGGTTCTGACCATAGATCCCTTCGTCGTAACCACAATGGGTAGCACCTGTATTGCAAATATACACCACTTGCTCATTCAACCAACATGGAGAAATCGTTATTTCTTATTCTGATTTGGTACGAGTATATTATCATATGTCTTGCCCAAAACGGCTGTATCTTTTGCGGAAGGGTGACATCATCTGAGTTGACGCTCCGCGAGTATTGGTTGAGTTAGACGGGTGTGTTTGGGCAGCGATTACTGAACCTAAGGCCAGAACCTCGTAGTCTTACCTATTGACCGATTATACCTTGAGACTCGCACAATACTTAAAATTACTCATGTCGTGGATATCCACATTGAAAATTAACACTTTGAATATGGATATATTTGAGTTCCCTGAACAGGACCTAATCCTCGTTGTAAACACATTTAACGGCAGATCTTGAAACCCATCTAATTTCTTTTTTCCTAAACAAGGTCATTTTCTGGCCAAATTTAGATAAAATTTCGCTGTCTTGAAGCTTTTCTCGCCTTAAATGTCGACAGATGCCTAAAATCATAGGGTTGTAAATCACAAAAGTAAGAACTATATCCTTTGCATTTCTTGAGTAAATTTTTGCCAGTGCCATATTATTATTTTCCAAATTACGGGGATTCTAACGCGGTAGGCGACACCACGACAGTCATTTATGTATGTAGTTAAGAGGTGTCCACATCCATAGTAAATTTAAACGAAGATCTAATGCACGCTTGTTTCAAAATGAATTGCCTTGAATTCAAAATGCTGAACAGAGGCGTTATTTTTTATAATATTTCAGCATCAAACATTACTCTATATAAAGCAGCTCTTTGATAGCGCCCTTTTCAAGTATTTTTTCTGCAAATTTGTCTATCATACAATGAAATAAATAATGGGCTTCCCTAAGACTAAGGGAGTTAACTCACGTGAACATGATATAACCAAACAAATTTTCCACAGCAGGGATATCCATGTAATAAAGTAAAGTGGAGAAATTACTCCTGAAATGCTTCCTACGAATTTCTAACTGCACATGACCATTCGTTTCGTGGACTGGAGTCGTAACGCGAGAAGTATCTAAGCGAGTAATCAACAAATTCATGCATCGTTGAAGCGGAAAAATGAAACATTGAAAGTAATCATGCACAACAGCCCTGAGTAGGGGC